GGAACTCGAGAGGGGACTCGAGAGGGAACTAGAGAGGAGACTCGAGAGGAGACTCGAGAGGGAACTTGAGAGGGGCCTCGAGAGGGGATTTGAGAGGAAACTTGAGAGGGGACTCGGGTAGGAACTTGAGAGGGGACTCGGGTAGGAACTTGAGAGGGGACTTGAGAGGGAACTTGTGTCGGTCGGTACACCGACAGGACACGGGGAGCTGGTGTTGGCTGGAGAGCCAACAGGAGACGAGGTGCTGGAGTCGGCCGGTACGCCAACAGGACTCGGGGAGCTGGTGTTGGCTGGAGAGCCAACAGGAGACGAGGTGCTGGAGTCGGCCGGTACGCCGACAGGACAAGGGGAGCCGGCGTCGGCTGGAGAGCCAGCAGGAGACGAGGTGCTGGAGTCGGCCGGTATGCCGACAGGACTCGGAGATCTGGCGTCGGCCGATGAGTCAACAGGTGACGAGGAGCCGGACCATGACTGCTGGGGCCGGTACTTGAGCCGGAACCATGGCTGCTGGGGCCAGAACTGGGTCTGGGACCATGGCTGCTGGGGCCAGAACTGGGTCTGGAACCATGGCTTCTGGGGCCAGAACTGGGTCTGGAACCATGGCTGCTGGGGCCAGAACTGGGGCTGGAACCATGGCTGCTGGGGCCAGAACTGGAGCCCAAAGCATGGCCTCCGGGGCTAGGGCTGCTAGCCTGGACCTGCGACTCCTCCTCTTAAGAGCCTTTTGGAGGCTCCGTGGACCTCCAAAAGCGAGACGAGTTCCAGAGAATGGCTCCTGGACAGGAGCAGGAACTGGGGAAGAAGCAGAGGCCGACTCCAGACAGAACAGACAGAACAGACCGAGGCGTACGGCGCCAGGTTGGGAGTTGGGAGTCATGGTGCTAGCATGCCTGGGGCTAGCAGGCCGGGAATCACACACCGAGAGGAAGTCCAAAATCCAGCCAGGTAAGAACTTCACTAAACCTGGCTTCTCCATAGCCATCTGGTGTGCCTCAGCCATAGCAGCCTCTCGCTGCTGAACCCTGACCGCTCCTATCCATCCTATCCATCGATGAGCTCAAACGGATCTGCTGGGCCCATATCTCAGGTCGGTTCGTAATGTTACGGTGTGTGCAGGAAGCAGGACCCAAATGCAGATTCAAGTGTCAAAAATAACTCCTTTATTTCAAGGCTATACAATAAACAAGACAGAACAGAACACTCACCGAAGACCACGTCAAAACACAAGACGAACCGACAAAGACAGACAGAAAACCAGAACTTAAATACACACAAGACTAATTATACAAACAAGACACAGGTGAGGAGGGAGGAGAAAACACAGGGACACCAGGTGCACACAATCGGGTAATAAGACACACCAGGGAAACTAACGACAGGGAACCACAGACAGATCTAAAGACAAAACACAACGCAGACAGAAAACCAAAGACAGATCTAAACAAGACACAACGCAGACAGAAAGCCAAAAACAGATCTAGAAAAGACAAAACACAACACAGACAGAAACAGGCAAGACAGGAAGTGAAGACCTTTCAAAATAAAACATGAAACAAAAGACAGAAAAAGACAAGACAAAATACAATAAAGACAGATCTTATCACCTGGAAACAGGGAGGAGCCTGCGAGCCCCTTTCATAAAACGGCAGACCAAGGGATGTTGGCTAGCCGTCTTTCCCTCAAAGCCCACATGGCATGCAGCAACAGCAGCCAGGTACACTTTGATCGTAGAGAAAGCTCTGTGTTTATCAATCAGGTCCTGTAGAAATGATAGAATCACCCCGACAGGACATTGAAAAGAGATGTGTCCTTTTTGAAGGCACCACTCCTCAAACACCCTCCACTTACAGTCATAGAGGGACCTGGTGGAGGAAGCTCTTGCACTCTGAATAGTGTTTATCACCTTCTGAGGGAGTCCCACTGTATTCAGGTTATACCACTCACGGGCCAGGCCCATAGTGCCAAGCGCTTTGGGTGTGGGTGAAAAATCGTCCCCCCGCCTGAGACAGTATGTCCCTGCGTAGCGAGAGCTGCCACGGCTGCCCTCACAGCAGCTGATATATCTCCGCCAGCCAGCACATTGCAGGCCAGTGTGGAGCTATTAGGATCAGTGTGTGGCGTTGTTCTCTCACTCTGGCCAGAGTTGGGGGTATCAAAGCCAGGGGTGGGAACACGTACAGAAGGACCGGAGGCCAAACGTGCGCGAGTGCATTGAAGAGAACAGCTGACATTGAGCGTTTTATTTTGATGCGAACAGATCCACTGCGGCCCGGCCGTTAATTAATCATGATTAATCACCATTCGAACTATGTCCAAAATATGCCATTTATTTATGTATATTGTTGTGGGAATGGAAAGATAAATGAAAGAAGGCGGATATATCCATTTAACATACGTATCTATGTTTATTATAAAAAATGTCTGCGTGTCAAAATTAAAGACAGCCCACACACCTATCAATCATCAAACCGTGGGGTCTTAATTCTTTACGTGTTGATTTCTATCAACGGGGGAGTACTTCAGGAAAGTCGACGGGGGGGGGGGGGGGCTAGTGGAGTACTTTGTGACCACAGAGTGTGAACGTTGTGATCAGCTGTTTTAGCGCAGTTCTCCAGTGAAGGGGGGGGGGGGGGGGAGGCTCCCTCCGCAGCCGGTTGGCGTAGTTTTGGCACAATTCCGTTGTACAGACCGACGTTAACAGCAGCCCTGTCTGTGCACACGGAGACCGACTCTGTCGTCCGGTGATCGAACCGCCTTCTGGAAAAGCTTCACAAGTACGTCGGTACGCAAATGCACTTTGTGACACAAGTGACGGTACGCATTTTAGATTACGCACATAACCTGCGTACCAGTTATGTGCACCCCTGTACTACAGCCAGAGATGGGGTCGTTACTAAAAAAAAAGTAATGTATTACTTTTTTTTTTTTAAAAGTAATATAGTACACTACTTCGTTACTCTCTACTCGTTACTTTACTCGTTACTTTACTCGTTACTTTACTCGTTACTTTACTCATTACTTTACTCGCAGGGCCGGCCCGCCCCTCCCTGCAGGCAGATCACGCAGACTGCTAAAGTTTCAAATGTTCTCTTTAGTTCAGTTTCCATTGTCGCATAAGACTGATCCAGATAGCTCCTGAATGTTTTCCTATCTGACCATGGCTGTCCTCTGTCTCCTGCTATAGTATATTTTGCCCAGTCTATCTCTGCTCATGCTGTTGCGTCGGCGTGTTCTCCTGCGTGTTGGCCATGTGTTGCACTGGAACCAGACTGGAGCACACCGCAAAGACTTCAGCCGAGCACGTACGAACTGCGCATGCGTGAGTGGCAATAACTCTCCTTACCAGCAGGCGGCGGTAGTGTGTATTCGTCATTCAAAACAAGCAACAACCGGAAAACAGAGAAGAAGAACAGACTACGTGATATAAAAATTAAAAAAAATAGCTGTGCGTTAGCTTCACCTTAGCATGTGTTCTTTGCAGGTGTTTGTTGAGGTTTGATTATGACTGATTTTAGTAAGTAACGAAGTAACGCGTGTCGGGGCAATGTTAGTAACTGTGTGATTACTGAATTATAAAAGTAGCGCGTTACGCTACTCCGTTACCGACAAAAGTAATATTATTACAGTAACGCGTTACTTTGTAACGCCTTACACCCATCTCTGACTACAGCAAAAGTATTCTCCGTCGGGACTTCCTGCAACAACACCACGCCGTTATCTTGATTCTGATTGGCCAGAAGACATTATCAAAGATGTTCTATTGAGAAGTCGATCACTACGTGACAAAAGTTTTCAAAACCGTGGCTACTGAAATCAATCTTACTAACTGCTGTCTGTGCAATTTACTCCGCGCGAGTTGGCAGACTTTATTTTACTTACTTTAACATCATTTTTCATGGTGGGGCTAAGCCATTTCTTGGTATGGGTGTAGCCTACCCCAGCCATACCCTGGCGCTGCCACTGGTGGTGGCACGTATGGGGCGGGCCATTCTGCACATGCATTAAATGCGTTAAATATTTTAACGCAATTAATTCAAAAAATTAATTACCGCCGTTAACGCGATAATTTTTACAGCACTACTTAAAATGTTACATTAAAATACCTTAAATAAAGTTCTGATGAGAAAAACTGTTTTTTACATTTTGTTTTTATTAGATTTGTATGATCAAACACTAAAATAAATACAGAACCTAAAGTTCTACAGCTAGAATACTGTTATTTTACAGCTTGTTTCTAACATTTTCCAATCAAACAGGTTCAACAAAATGACATCACAAAATGTTCTGTAGGAAACAATTACTCTGAAAACTTAAAATATAAAAATATTTGTAGAATTATAGTACAACTAATGAATACAGCATTTCATATTTAAACATCATACTTATAAACAGTATAAACAAAAAGTAAGTTTAATTTTTTAAGATTACTTTGAAACATTCTCAACTGAAAATAACAGAAATTACAAAATGGCGACATATGTTCACATAGTCAATTTGAAGGAGCAGTGTGCAGGATTTAGTACGTCTAACAATGGTAGGTTCCAACCAATGGATAACTTGTTCACTCACCCTCCTATCCCAAGTTTGTAGGAGAACGAATATTGGCTGCAAAAAACTTGAGGCCCAATCATGTTTCCTCGGTCCATTCTGCGCTACTGTATACGTGGCAGTGCAACCTAGACTAGAGGACAAACAGATCAGAATCAGAAACGGGTTTATTGCCAGGTAGGTTCACACGTACGAGGAGAATTTGACTAGGTGTCGTACATACAAATAAAAAAATTAAAAAAGTACACAGATAGCGAACTATATTAAGAACACTGTTGTTGAGGTGGCGAGAGGTTTTGGTCCTGATGGAGAGAGGTTTTGGTCCTGATGGAGAGAGGTTCTGGTCCTGATGGAGAGAGGTTCTAGTCCTGATGGAGAGAGGTTCTGGTCCTGATGGAAAGAGGTGTTGGTCCTGATGGAGAGAGGTTCTGGTCCTGATGGATTGTGTTGAAGGCAGAGCTGAAGTCCACAAACAGGATCCTGGCGTAGGTTCCTGCTGTGTCCAGGTGCTGGAGGAGGAAGTGAAGTGATAACTATTAGTAAACCATAATGATGGATGTTATTATCAGCAGCTGCCAATAGATCCCCTAAATCTTGTATGATGGACCTTTGAAGCACAAGCACAGGGCTCGAGCTTAAGGACGTCCCGTCGTCGAAAAAAATAGTATCGGGGAGGATAAAAAATAATTTTGGGACGAGAGTTAAAATAAAAATACCCTGCTAACTCTACTACAAAAGGCGATGAAAATGAAACCGACTGCACGTTTTGTGTAGCACATTAAACCTCCTTGTCAACATAAACACACACGCACATTTAGAAACCCGCGTACACACACGTAGCTACAGCTGTGCCCGCAAATTCCTGGCCCGCAAATTCGCGGGTCAAGCTATGTACTGACTGAGTGTGTGTATTTTGCGGGTTGAGTGATGTACAATGGCATCCCGTGGAGGAATTCTGAAATGTTTTACCGTTAATCAATAAAACGCACAGCAGAACCAGACCCTAGAGCGCCGGCCTCTTTATTTACTTACTCCTCTTCATCCCCTATGGGTAATAAGGCTGAGATGAGAACTCTCCATCGTATTTAGTCCTTAGCAATATGCTGCGCCTCCCCCTATGTAGGGATGGGTACCGAGCCCTGGTATTAAACGGGCCGGAATTATTAAAGACAGTGGTAACGTTAAGCTCCGACGTTATTGGACTTTTTATCGGTACTGGAGACATTTAAAATATATGTCATATGTATTATTGCTACATACACATTATATCGCAGTTTTAATTTAATAATTATCGGTCCGATATTAGCAATTATGACGTCATCCCCATAAACCCGATACCAGTATTAATAGCCCCGATAATATACAATATATTTTTTGGGTAAAAAAAAATAAAAAAAATACTGCGGTGTGGGTGGATTGGGATGAGGGGCGCTTGTTTTTCACTCGGCTCCTCCCGTTTTGCCAGTACTGTGGTATTAGTGGTTTAGGAAGAGGGGATTCTTCACAAATCCAGCGCTCCCTAACTCATGCCTGGCTGTGACGTAAATGGTGTGCGGCCGTGAAGCCAGGACAGTAAACAAACATGTCGTCGGTGGTATGGGACTATTTCAAAGTTTCGGAGTTGGAAAGTTTGCTTGCTATTTGTAACAAATGTAATGCAGAAGTTCCACGAGGAGGGAAAAAGGCAACGAGCTATAATACTTCGAACCTGATCACCTGAAACATCGCCATCGCTACGATGGTGTGTTAAAAGCGTACAAAGACGCCTGCGCTGCTAAACTAGCGGCAAATCCAAAGCCAGCTGCAAAGGCACCGGGGCTTTTATCTATCGACGAGACTTTTGAAAAAGGCAAGAAGTTTGCCAGAGACGACCCCAGGGCTAAAACGATCTCTAACTTCATCATAGAAATGATGGCGCTTGACGACCAGCCCTTTTCCCTTGTCGAAGAGAAAGGATTCAGTCGGCTAGTTAATCATTTGGAGCCCAGGTTTATCCTTCCAAGCCGCCGCCACTTTTCAGACGAGTGTTTACCAGCCAAGTATAATGAGATCGCCACACTCCTTCATACTCTGATCGATAACGATATACGGGACATAAGTTTCACCACGGACATATGGACCAGTGATGTTAGCCCCGTTAGCATGCTAGGTCTGACGGCGCAGTGGCTGGACAAAGACTACAAACTGTACAGAGCGGTGTTGCATTCTCAGGAGCTACCAGGTTCACACACAGCCGATATGATCCGTGAGGCTTTTGAAGCCATGCTTCAGCAATGGAACATTAGTAAAGAGATGGTCCATGTTGTCCTAAGAGACAACGCACGTAATATGGCGAAGGCTTTTGGTGACTATGGAGTTGATAGCCTGGGCTGCATGGCCCACACTTTACAGTTGGCCGTGAATGAGGCTGTGCTTAGCCAAAGAGCTGTGTCTGACTGTGTTGCCATCGGGCGGAAGATTGTTGGACATTTTAAGCACTCCCAAGTAGCGTCCACCGCCCTGGAAAAGTTACAGGCAAACCTGCGAAATGGAACAACAACCACTACTACTACCACCAGTACACGACTCCAACAGGACGTGGCCACACGTTGGAACAGTACATTTTACATGCTTAAGAATCTGGTGGCGCAGAAGCAAGCTATTGCAGCTTATGCAGTAGAATACAAGTTACCAGCAACACTCAACTCCCACCAATGGGCCCTGGTTGAAAACATGTTGACCATCCTCGATCCGTGTGAACAGCTGACTAGAAATATTAGCAAAACTACAGCCACAACGGCAGACGTAATCCCCTCCATCCAAGCCTTAACGCGCCTGCTAAAACAAACTGTTCCAACAGACCACAGAGTGAAAACTTCAAAGGAGACCCTGTTAAAAGCAGTCCAAACGCGTTTTGGTGACATCGAGGAAAAGCCCTTGTATTATTTCTCAACGCTATTGGACCCGAGGTACAAGGACCGCTACTTCACCCTTGCATCAAAACGGCAAGCTATAGAAATGCTGCGGGAACAGCTGTACAGCGTCGTCGAGAGAGACCGCCGTGCCACAGACACCCCCGGCCCCCAGCCAGATGAGCCACCGGCAAAGAGCAGCAGGGGAGACGAGAACAACAACTCCTTCTTGGGCATGTTTGAGGCAATCCTCGAAGAAAATACAGATGCTGCAACTGAACACCAGGAAAACAGCAGAGTCGATGCGAACGTAAGTGTATATTTTTGTTTTAATTGTTTTATGAACACAATGTATAACTTATGTTACAAATGGGACCGGATATTCAGAACATCATCATAATTATATTTTGTTCTTCTGTGTTTTGTTTTTTACTGAAAGCTCCAGTCATATCTGTTGGAGGCCACGCTTCCCATGAACCGTTGCCCGCTGGAATACTGGAGAAGCAACCAGTCCCGTTACGAGTGCCTGGCCCAACTTGCTCGTAAATATCTGTCGGCTCCTTGCACTAGCGTTGACAGCGAGCGTTTGTTTTCTGCTGCTGGACACGTGATGACCCAGCAAAGAAACCGACTTGCATGCGACAAGGCAGAGATGCTGCTCTTCGTCAAAAAAAAATCTCCCTCTGATCAAACCAGAATTTTAAAAAAAAGTAGAACTTTAGAAGAATAGCTACCTGCTCTAAAGGGAGCTAAAGTAACAATGCAGGATCAAGGGTCAAATGTGAATCTCTCTCTCTGAGAAAAAAAGAGGACAATTGAAACCTTATGCTTTTGTGAAAAACGGGTTCACTGTCATTTATATGGGTTATAAAGCAAGTCATTAATCCTTTGTTCTGTAAATGACTGTTTGTTACTGTGTGGAATGCACTTTTTCAGTTTGTGTTTACATATAAATGTCTAACTTGTTTCAGTACCTTATTTTTTTGTTACTGTGAGGAATGCACCTTTTCAGTTTGTTTACAGAGACTGATTTTACTTGTCAGTATTTAATTTGAATCCTTATGCAAAGATTTGCACTTTTGCAGCATCCCTTCTAGAGGAGTAGAGGCCTTTATTTTTATATCACTAAGTGATGCACCTTACTATGGCAAATGTTTACATTTTACAATCTATTTGACAGGTTGTCAAATTGTTTTTGTTTGATTTATTTTGGCAAATGTTTGATAGGCTTGTTGTCCTATAAATGCCAGGTAATAGTTGTTTCCATTTCTTAATATGGACCACTCATTGTTCACTCATTGTTCAGGGAAACACATTGTCATTGACTGATTGACTCAATTATATTTATTTGGGAAAATAAATATGGTCACTTTGAAGAGTCAAAACTGTTCTCTTGGCTTTGTTTTGTTCATAGTAGTAATGTTCATGTCATTTGCTCACTACTAGTCTTTTTTTACGACCAGGTGTGCAAAACCTACAGGTACATTTAATATATATATATTAGGGCTGTCAGTCGATTAAAATATTTAATCGCATGATTGTCCATAGTTAATCGCGATTAATCGCACATTTTTGATCTGTTCTAAATGCACCTTAGAGGAATATTTTTCAAGTTTTTAATACTCTTATCAACATGAGTGGACAAATATGCTTTATGCTAATGTTTATTATCATTTCAACAATGACAAATATTTTCATGAATATTAAACACAACAACCTCTGAACATTACAAATATTCGCCTCAATTCAACCTGGAACCTCTCTCATACTACAATACGGTGTGTGTGTGTGTGTGTGTGTGTGTGTGTGTGTGTGTGTGTGTGTGTGTGTGTGTGTGTGTGTGTGTGTGTGTGTGTGTGTGTGTGTGTGTTAGGGCTGCACGGTATTGAGAAAAACTGACATCGCGGTTTTTTCCCCCCCTGCGGTATATATTGCGTTTTTTTAAACCTGTTAAACCCCAAAGTCCCGGCGGGTACTTTACTTTATTTTTCACGACAGTGTCTCAGGGGATCGTAATATTTAAGAACCTATTAATGTGTTATACCGGATTAACGGAAATAATCTCAGCTAACTGACGATACAAACCATTTTATACCAAAACAAAACACAAGTCTCATAAGAAGCATCTAAATGACCCCTGAGCGAAAAATGCTAACGCACTTTGGCACAGAACTAAAGATAAAAGTACCCTTATTATTACTTATCGTAGCTGCACTTACAAGATATCCGATTAAAGCTGAGGATCCACAGATTATTTAGGTATATAGTATCATCACTGAGTGATCTGAACTCGGACAGGGGAAGCAAACACAGACATCACAACACGTACCTTTACGTAGCTTCGAGGGGAGATGTCTCACCGTAGCTGTCAATCTGATCAAAAGACGTGTTCAATGGCATTAAAACGAGAAAGAAAAAACGCGGCTGAATTGGTTAATCCATAGGTTTGTAACGTCTCTGTATAAAAAAATGATTTAATTTATAATCCATAATTCCATTTTTATGTAAATATCGCAGAGCAAAAGTTAGCTGCTAATGGTAGCCACCAGAGTGGCTGCTGCTTCCGGTCTTGGTAAGGCGGAAGTCTCTCACACACACATTACCAAATAAGGACTGTGTGATTTCCCCTCGATTCCATTGGCTCTGACGGTCAGAAAGAGATGTCACATGTCAAAATCCAGCAAGGTGGGCCAGAGATATGGAAAATCCACCCAAATGGCCCCAAAAGAGGGTTTTTTTGTGCTAAATCTGTCTAAAAAGGTCAAATATCAGGGGAAGTTCTACACACAGTCACATACCAACACATGAACAAATAAGGAGTGAGAGTGACGACGCGTAGCTGCATACCACCAAGGTGGCTACCATTAGCAGCTAACTTTTGTGATCCGATTTTTACATAAAAATGGAATTATGGATTATAAACAATTGCTTCAAAGCCACAGATACATTATCAACCTATGGATCAACCGATTCAGCCGCGTTTTTTCTTTCTCGTTTTAATGCCATTGAACACGTCTTTTGATCAGATTGACAGCTACGGTGAGACGATCTCCCGTAAAAGCTCTGTAAAAGGTACGTGTTGTGATGTCTGTGTTTGCTTCCCCTGTTGCGAGATCGGATCGCTTAGATACTATACTTAAATAATCTGTGGAGTCTCAGCTTTAATCGGATATATTGTATGTGTAGTTTCGATAAGTAATAAGGGTATCTTTATTTTTGAATTCTGTGCTAAAGTGCGTTAGCATTTTGTTTTGTTTTAAATGAATAAAACCGCACGTCCCTGCGGTGTGAATACCGCGCATGCGCATACCGTGGTTATCGCCATGACACGGTATATCGTTCAGCCCTAGTGTGTGTGTGTGTCTGTGCGCGCGCGCGTTGGAGCTATGTGCAACTCAAGGCATATGCTCGAACCGGAGCTGCCTGGACGCTGCAATCATGTTGCGCACTATCCGTGCTGAGTGTGCTGACTTTTCGTACAATGTCCCACTGTCTGGCTTCCTGCATAAAGTCAAGTGCTCGGCGCAGTTGTGGCGAAATGTCGCTCCTCTGTTTTCATTTAAACAGCTCCTTATATCCATTAGCGCAGCTAGCTAGCACCAGATGCTAACAACAACAATGCACGTAAGGTCTCTCTCTCGCTCGCTCGGGCCACACATACACACACCCTCCCGGTCCTCCAGATGACCAGTCGGTGCCTGCCGGTGAGCGTGGAAGTGTGGTCTGCCACAAGCGGGCGGCAGGAGCGGGGTTGTCAGCATCAGCTTATAGATGGTATTTTAAACTCGATGCGCTCTGAAACTACGGGGCGGCCAAGGAAAAAAAATACACATGCGTTAATCGCGTTAAAATAATTAGTGGCGTTAAAAAAAATTGTGTTATCGGTATCGGTCTTGAGAAGCAGGAAGTTATCGTTATCGGTTTCAAAAAAACAATATCGTGCATCCCTACTTAAAATGGTACATATCGCTGAATCTATATTTTCATCTTCAGGTGATGACATCTGCATAATGTCCCTGTTCAATAAGATTCGAGCATTTTGTAATCCAGTGAGGAAATTCAAGACCAGTAAATATTGATTGATTAAACAACACTAAATAAAATATTAGTGTTTTCTTCAAACTCAGACTCTCTGCTGCAGCTGTACCTCAAAGACAAAACAATAGTCTGATGATCTTTGTTGAACAAGGTCTGATTGTCCTGTACAATGTGGGGTATTTTTAAATACTTTACTAAACCACATTCAATATTATGTTAGACACAAGTTAGTTATTACTCACATATCAAAGTATTTTCATCTGCAAGATGGAAGAATAGCTGGGTGCTGCCTGGAGAGACTGATGAGGGACACAGGATGGCATCAGCAGCTTTCCACACAAAGCCATCACATCTTCTCTTCCATAGTCCTCACTGTCCACTGGTGCTCTGTCAAAAGAGTGAACATCACAGCTGTCATGTTAACCCTTTGTTACACAACATACAACCAACATGTGTCAAAAGTGACCCGAATTAGTTTTAATTGTAAATATCTTTGCAATAAATTACTTTAACCATTCAGGATTCCAGGTATTCCTCAATTAACCTGTTTTGGATCAACACCAATTCTAATTTTTATTTTTCCTTTCTTACTTTTTGAATAAAAATCATGTTTGTATCACTACACTTCTAAGGGACAACATGGGTCAAACATTACCCGTATTCTTTTGCTATGTTATTTCATGCATGTCTGAGTGTTTCTTTACTATACATTTCAAAAATAATTAATTTGAGCAGTGATTTGGACCAAGCATGTATGATGTCGTAATACAAAAAGTATTTTAGTTCACACAGTGTGACACTAGCTAGTCATGTTAGCGTGTAATATATAGAGCAGGGCTAACTAGCAAGTTAGCCGAACGTTAGCGGTTAGCTGTTTATGCTATGCTAGCTGTTGGCTACTGAACATTAACCAACTAGATTCCGCTGTAAGAAAGCTGTGAAACTTTACATTAAACTTGGCGACAACACTGTGACACCCTGCTGCATGTTTATGTGTAATTCTCCCGTGTTGGAGACGAGAGGGTGGGGGCAGCACCGCAATAAGCTGTAAACTAACGTTAGCAGCCACATGTAAAGCCGGGTTTCCCGGGCGCAACATCTTGCAAGAAACAGCATCTCAGGGCTTCTTAACATTTAACAACCTATTAATGATGCATACCAACTTAACGGGAAGAAACTCAGCTAACTAGAAGAAGAAACGGAACCTTAAATAAAAAATAAAACATTCACAATCTAAGGATTATCTAAATACATGTTTAACTCCATTACAATTGCAGGACTCACCAGATCTCAAGTCTTCTGTTCTTTGTTGACGTCCCGATGCTCATATTTAACGTGTAGATGTAAAACGATCCCGATATTAATCCATAAACTAAACTCCTGCAGTAGACATACAGACAGCTGTAGCTCCAGCAGGAGGAGACCCGCTCAAACTGATGTGAATGTTTCAAATGTGAACGACAGGCGCGGACCGTTCTCATTGGCAGGTTTCTTCGATTACGTTTATATTAACCAATCAGGAGTGTTGTGGACTCATTCCAAACATGCCTGACTTGTCTGCCGTGTTTTGGCTAAATTCTATTTCAAGTGCCGTAGCTCTGGCTGTCGGCCAGAATCCGAAAACCATACATTATACTGTAAAACTAAGGTTTATTACTGTATACTGACCAATGAAAAAAAAACACAGCAACATAAATAAAACAAGGATAACTGTGACTTATTGTTGAGTAAATAACAGTGTGTGTTTTCAACCTTGGTCCTCCCTGCAGAGATTTCTCCACTTTCTATGATTTTTATTTTTTTTAATGATATTGTCAACTGTAGATGTTTACAATATAGTAAGTTAGGAATGTCATGAAAACATATTTATTTACTTTTGTTTCAACATTGGATATTTTGTGTTTGTGGTGGATTCAATCGAATATTGAGAAAATGATTTATGTAAATATGTTTTACTTACATTTTACGTTTTTTTTTATTTAACGCTTTTTTTTACAGTTTTATGTTTACCTTAAAATTACAAAGAACATCTTAAAGTCTTATAATGTTAATACACTTGTATATTACGAGTTACATATTTAATTACAGATAATACTTATATTTTACGTACATCTGCATGTATTTTCTGAAAGTGCAAAAATACTGTAAATATTATATAGTAAATTTACTGTAAAAAAAAGGAAATAAACGTTATTTGTTGTTATTGTCAAAATACTTAAAATAATGTTTTGGGTTGTTAATTTAATTTTTTTAACAAACTGTAAAGTCCACTGAGACAAATGTAACATTTGTGATATTGGGCTATATAAATAAACATTGATTGATTGATTGAATTTATAGTTAATATCTGTCATTTTACAGGATTTTGCAAGTTATTTAAAAAAACATGATAATTACTATAAAAATTGACAGTTATTTCCTGTAAAATTACGATCTTTTTTACAGTGTGCCAGCATGTGTAACTGGAGAGAACGCAAATCCCCTTGGCGGTTTATATACGATATTGTGGTCGTGTTGTCTGTCCTCACGAGGACATGATGTCCTCTGAGAAAAGGCAGAAAGCGTTTCAGGGGGAGGAACACCGCTAAAAGCTCCAGAAAATGTATGTGTGACCGTTGGAGGTCTCTGCTCCAGAGACCCCTCACAGGTCGACCTTCGTATATACACCCCCAGCCCGTCAGACATGCGTCTGTGGTGACCACCTTCCGCGATAGGACAGCACCCATAGGCACGCCCCGTACTAGAAAAGTCGGGTGCAGCCAGTAGCGCAGTGCCATTACGCATTTCATAGTGACCATCACTCTCCGCGCGCCATGACGCACACTCTTAAAACTACTGGGTTAAAAAATAACCCAATCATAACCCAGCTGCTGAGTCACTATAGGACAGAACACACGCTGGGTTGTCTTAACCCATATGCTGGGCTGGATCATTTTAACCCATGTGCGGGGTTGTTTATTTGACCCAAGCTAGTGATTGAAATTAACTACATCACTGGGTTAAATAAATATAAACCATATATTGGGTTGTTTATTTGACCCAAGCTAGTGATTGAAATTAACTATATCACTGGGTTAAATTAATATAAACCATACATTGGGTTGTTTATTTGACCCAAGCTAGTGATTGAAATTAACTATATCACTGGGTTAAATTAATATAAACCATACATTGGGTTGTTCAATTGACCCAAGCTATTGATTGAAATTAACTATATTGTTGGGCTAAATAGAATATAATAATAATGTATAATAGTGTAATGAATTATCTCCAAACACACCGTATATATATATATAAAAATGCATGTATTGATAATTTGAACAGCTTTGGCAAATCGCCAACATTCCATTTCCACTATAAAAGAACAATGCATTTTAGCATAATACAAATTCAATATATTTAACTCTTAAATAAATAAAAACACCTTAAAAACAGTGCTAGGGCCTTGAGAAATATCTGTGTGTATTTTAACCATCACTTATGAGTGAACACAATTTTCAGGAACAGTTCTGCGTATTAATTTAACACATGGACCATAAAGACCCAATACATATAAAAGTATAAAACAACATCTACGAACAGTCCTTCAACTTGAAGCTGAACAGTAACAAATCTGTCAATGAACACAACAGAACACAGATGTAAAGCAGCAGGATGTAAACAGAGGAGAACAGTGTGTGTGTGTGTGTGATTGTTAAAGTGCAACTTTGTTGGTTGGATTAAACTGCCAAAAGCTTTTTCAGGCTCAACACCCTGGGCTTCAAGTTCCCCTCAACACTTTCTAGGTGAAGTCGAAAGTGTTGGCCAAGTCTTTTGGGTAGCTCAGATGCAGGGCAAAGGTCAGTGCAAAAAGCAGGATGAATGCGTCAGCCAGTGTGGGGAGTTCCATAACTCCGTTACCCTCAATGACAACAGCGATCCTCTCTGGGCAGAAGAGCGTGGTATCTGTTGACCTGGCACTGATCATGAGAAGTCCGACCGTGATGCCCTCTGTGTCTGGATCATCAGACTGCTCCACCTGATGACAAGAACAGATAAACGTTACCCAAATTGCCTTGCCTCTCTCAGAAATGTGTTTTCTGAAAAATACATCAGTGACATATCACATAAAATAACCGTATGTTTTGTGCATAATCTGGGTTTAAGGAAACGCCTATTAGCATTGCACAACATAATGTTACAGCACCAGAAACGTCAGCCTCCAAAATAACCAATCAGTTGACATAAATGCTTTCAACAAAAATCATATATAACCTTCATAAGGGTAGGATTTATTTTATCACTGTATTAGACTGTTACTATTAGCTAGTTGTACCTAATAAACTGGCAACTGAATATATATTTACAGTATAATCTCTCCCTACTACACATACAAAAAAATATGGGGAACACTAGAGATTATTTTGTATTGAACACTGATGCTGCAGGAAAGAAAGCCCTCTCTTGATTGTATATTTTATTAAATCACCTGAGCCCATTTTATACACGCTTAATTTCAAATAAATCCTTAGAAATCATATTCAACACCTCTGAAGTGTTGAAGTAAAGGGAGATTATGTTCAACATGTCCATTGTGTACCTTACAATAATTACAATTCTTATGGCAATATTCAAATCTTGGAACTAGAACCTGAATGGGATGTGAGCAAAACAAGAGATAATGTTTGATTAACAACACCTGAGTGACAGAATCAAGCTTTGATGACACCAGGACAGTTCATACTTTTTCAAACTAAATCTATCATTTATTATAATTTTTTCACTATAAAAATTCAAATAATTGTCTACCTGCGATAGAGCTCCTGAAAAAATGTAACAAGATAAACTATATTTGTGGATGATCTGTCACATACATTCAAAACAGTTATTATTCTGACTTACATGCCACAGCCTCGGAAACGTGGAGTCATCTTCATGCAGATATTCAGGCAGAGCACAGAGGACAGCAGCACGGAGGACATGGACGTCAGCTTGCTCCTTGAGTGTGAGAACATATATTTGTTTTACTTTGGATGCTAAACAGTATAACCACACAACAATTGATATCACAAGAAAGGGCTCTTCCATGACTGAAGAGATTAACATTTTGACAAAGATAATCCACTCTAGTATGAGAATAAAACACCAAGAGGCATAACCGACTCACCTGGAGGTCATAGGAGGCGAATAGCTGATCCAGAAGTTCAGTTTCCTTTCCTTGCCGCCTTCTTCCTGAACAGGCTCTGAAGATGGAGGACATGTCTATCCAACTCCGCATAGAAGTGGTTCTTCAGGTTGAGGTTTGTTATCCTGTGAAACTCTGCCAAAATATAAAATGACTATTTAATTCACAGTACAATGTATATGTGGACTGAAGGCAGCAGAGATAAACAGAAACATAACATGCTAAATCTGAGTAAACATGTCAAAGGGACACAAAATAATTATATAGTTGTAATAAATAAAATATTTTCACCTGTGACTCCATTTTCAAGGCAGGCCAGCGTTCCAGGATCTCTCCAACATCATTGATGATCTCATTGCGCCGCAGGGCAAAGGTAGTCTGCATTAACTTTTAAATCAAGGGAATAATAATGTTATAATGTTCAAGTAACTCTGCCCTTGTATCAAAGACAGCAGCACAAAGTTTGCATCTCCAAGCCATTGGAAAACGTAACAATATTCACAGGCACCCTACAAACGGCGGCGTGCAATGACGCTTGCCTGCGGGCATGTCTGAAGCTAGACCAACAACCAATCACATGAAAGCTACACTTTGCTCCCACAATGCAGTTCGGCTAAGCGTGATGTCACCCCATTCAAAGTGAATGGGCAGAAGCGTCAACGCACGCCGCCATGTCACTCCATTCACTTTGAATGGAGTGACTTCACGCTTTGCCAAACTGCATTGTGACAATCAAATCATATGCCAGTACAAGCTCTAGCCAATCAAACCGCGTGCTTGTGTGTCCTGGGGCGGGATATTCATGTAATTGGTCGAGCTTCAGACAAGCCCGCCGCCATGTGTGTAGGGGCCGTAAGCATGCCACAGTTGCGCCGCTGCGAGGCTCCACTCGCACCCCCCCCCAGCGCGTCACAGTTTCTCCACTGTGAGGCTTACCAGATTGAAGAAGCCATATATCTGCCAGTTGCGTCAGTTTCCTTAAAAGAAAAAACATTAAAGGTTAGCTGGGTTGCAAAGTTTTCACAAAATGAGAAACACTATTTTCGAACCTAAAATGGCGGCAGGCGGCGCGCTTTTCTTCTTTTTTGTTACAGCATGCATGTCTGTGCGTGTTTTATTAACTAGTGTCTGAACACGGTGGTACCCCAGGTTGACAACCCCGGTCGACACTGCGCATGCGCGTGGCGGTGATGCCTTCACATACCTCATTCACACCAACGGTGTTTCGGGGCCGGTTCGGAGCTGGAGCTTGAAAAGCACC